AATGAAGGTCAGAACAGATATTAATTAGTTGTCTGACCAAGGTCACCAGTGAGAAGAGGTGGAACGTGGGCTGCCCCCCAGAGCTGAGTGCTTGGCCCAGGGCTGTGGGTAAGTCTGAGGGTTAGAATGACCACACCCCTACAAGGTGGTATGAATATCAGCATTATTGTTATTTTTATCCCGACATCATTAATTTGCAGGGAGTCGGGGCTGACTTAGAAGGTCCCCCTGCGGCATGCCGAGTTGTCACTGAGAGGCAGAGTGTTCTGCAGGGTTTACCTTCATTCACACACAGCCTAGCTGGGTCTGGCTGCCCCATTTTGGGTTTTCAGCAAAACCGGCACCAGCTGGCCAGTTTGAGGTGTGCGCTCCTGGAGCGAGGGCCCTGGTGACCTCTGATCCTTTGAAAATTGGGGACCCACATGCACTCCCCACTTGCCTCATAATTTGGAGCTCTCCAGAGAGGCTGGGGTGATGCTGACACCTGGAAGGAGAGAAAAGCTTCTCGACAGATTTTGACATTTGGAAGACAGCCAGCAAGCCCTAGGTCCCCAGGGGTGAGGAAGTGCCAGGCTCCCGGTGAGGTGGTGGGAGGGGGGAGTGGATGTGCAAGGACCGGCAGACTTTGTCAGCGAGAGGCTGGAGAGAGGGGCAGCAGGCTGAATAAGAGAGAAGAACCCCAAATGGAACTCTCAATTCCCCCCTGAGCCCAAGACCCCTTCGCCCCCACTGAGGATTAGACTGATGCTTAATTAGCATCTGAAAATAGATGTTCTACCCTCAAGCCTGGCATGGTTCCACCCCTTAGCCCTTAGGAAAGCAGATCAGGCAGGCAAAGGAAATAGATGCTTAATAACAAGGGAGGGCGAGAGGGCTCGATTCAAATCCTAAAGTCTTGCAGGGAGAATGGGCAGCAGCAATTTCTCGTGACATTTAATCAGGTTAGCATTTTCGCTTAAGAGGATTATTATGAATGGTGTCAAAACTCACTATGTGTCTCCTATGTATTAACACTCAAGACAACCTCAGAAATCTAACAATGATCCTCAGCCGGAGAAAAAATGCAGTGTATCAGCCACAGCTGTTCCTTTTACTATCGCGTCTTTCCCCATTTTCTTCCAGGCAAACTCCTACGAGTCTTCGAAACCAAGACCAAACGTCACCTCCTTGGGTAAACCTTTCCTGATACCTGCTGAGGTATTTATGTTCCCACAGCATTTTGAGTCCCTCTCTATTCTGGGATGAATTGTCTGTCTCCCCACATTTGTCTGTGAAGGTCTCAAGGGCAGGGAGGACAGTATTTGAGCTATGCACATGACAGGTGTGGGCTGAATAGCGATGGGCATACCGATTCATTCTAACTACCAGCCCAGGCCAGATACAATTTGCAAGGGGGTGTTAAAGACGAGCATCACAGTCACTCACACAGCATGGTCTGGTGACCAGGGACTCAAATTTCACTGGCCCTACTCACCGCTGACCTATTAACAAGAGAAATGACCACTAGCTAGAGATTAACAGCTCAGCCTTCTGAGACTTATTCAACAGAAGGTGTCTCTGAGGCTGATTTTCCTTGCATTTGGACAAAAGAGAGCATCGAGGAGGATGGGACAGACCTCACCGTTCTTTCGAAGAGTTGATAGATTTCAGAGTCAGGAAGTCCTTGCTCATGGGTAGCCTGCAACCATCCTGCTTCACTTGGGCTCTGCTGCCTTTTGCCCAGTCCTTGGGGAAAATGCAGATTGGCTGCTGGTCCACGCTCTCCTGCCTTCCTGACTCAGGTAGTGGCTGGGTCTCTCTTTGTGTTATTAACAAGGCTAACCCCCACGATGAACACTTGAAAAAGCAGCAAATGTGGGTTGCACCTGGGAGGAAGGAAGCTGGTTCCAGAGGCTCCAGGTAAAGAGGCTTTGAGCAGGTAGAGGGTGTACTAGCGTAGGAGCTGGCCTTTCAGGTCGGAAAGAAGAACATTGACGTTTTTATGAATTTGCTCAGCCTGCAAAATATGTCTGAGAGCTGTCCAGCGGGAGGTAAACAGGGCACCTCCTTAGCTCTGAGATGCAAACATAACTGGATGCTGGGGTCTCTGCTCCTTTCAGCTCTATTTCTGAGGGGTGTTTGGAAAATCGAGTCTCACACAACAGAGCCAGGATGATCTCGCAGGCCAGTGGTTTTGTGCTTTTTTGGCTCATGGGCTACATTGAGGGTTCGGTGACGGCTGAGGATGGAAAGTAGATGCCAAGCGCTACCTCTGGAAGCATGAGGCTCCCATGTCCAAGGCTATCTGACCATCTTAACCACAGGAGGGTTTAGTCTTCAGAACCCTTCCTTCTTCTCCAAGGACAAGAAATTGCCATTTTTGCAGAGACTCAAAGGCATTTGGGTCTCCTTGATTGCTATAGACTGGATGTTTGTCTCCCTCCGAAATTCTCACGTTGAAACCTAATCCCCAATGCGATGGCATTGGGCAGTGGGGCCCTTGAGAGGTGGCGAGGTCAAGAGGGTGGAGCCCTCATGAATGGGATTAGTGCCCTTATAAGAAGAGACCTCAGAGAGAGCCCTCGTCCCTTCTACCATGTGAGGACACAGCAAAAAGACAGCTGTCTATGAACCAAGAAGCAGGCCTGCACCAGACTCTGAATCTGCTGGCTCCTTGATCTTGGACTTCCCAGCTTCAGAACCGTGAGAAATAAATTTATGTTGTTTATAAGCCACCCAGTCTATGGTATTCTGTTATTGAGGCCCTCAAGGACTAAGACACTGACCACTGCACGATGATGCCCTGCGAAGGCGGCCAGTGGTCCTATTAATCATGCTTGCCCCTGTCCCATTATTGATCCCCACCCCCCAGGCTTGAAGTTCAAGGTTACGTTTTTCAAGCTGTCACTGTCTAACCAAAGTAGATGGCATGAAAGGAAATGGCCCCCCTCCTGCTATTGCCCAGACTTCCGCAGGACTTTAAGGGTCTTTCGGGTGGGGTCATCAAGGCCTCCTCTACTTCTCCCCTATACTCCAGATCTCGGGGGTTACTGCAGACCAGCAGTTACCAACTGTGATCCCTAGAAGGGCAGGTAGGTAAAGTAAGTCAGCCCAGCAGGCTAAGTAATTTCAAGACAGAACACCAGGTTGCACGCTAAGCACACAAGAATATTCTTCACTTTCGTAAAACATGAAACCATTCGTATCTTCCCCCAAAGATATGAACCTCTCAGTCAATCTCTACCTACCACTTATAATAGAGACACAGATACAAAAAGATTAAACTTTCATCCTAACTTAATGAGAGGGACACAGTAGGGAGAGGTGGAGATTGTGGCAAACCAGAGAGCCCATGCCCCGTCTCGAGGGGCAGCTGCTACACCGTCCAGGAGATGATCGCCTCATAAGAATATAGGCTCAATGTAGCCAGACTGTCCACATTTTAAAGAGAAGTTGTCAATATATTTATATAAAAAAATTTGAAATATTGGCAATAAATTCAAAGTACATATCTAAATTGTCTCTTAGGATAAGACAGTGCAGACCTAACAAATCAAGTCTACAGCCTGGAACTGACTCGAGGTTGTCTCTTTCTGTCCTTTGTCTTGAGAGGGTTTGCATCATTCCACACCTCTTTATTTTCAATGAAGAAAAAAAATATAAAGAAAAAATTAACTTTCTTCGTTCATTCAATCAATGGATAATAGTCCCCTCAGGCTCACCGTGTGACCTTGATTTCTGAGGCAGCATAATAGACACCTACAAGTGTGCCGTCCTCCAAACATTCCCAGGTGTCGCTGCCAGAGGTGAGTAATTAGCCAGTGGGAGCATGGGTCTGACCTACTGCAGAATCCCTCATGTTATCTTCCTGGCCAGCCATCGGCAGCTGAGGAAAGCAATCCCCACTGAGGCTCTGCAATGTCCCATCCTCCCCTGTGAAGCTTTGTGGAGAGGCTTTGAGTCATGGCTTAGATGCACTGGTGGTGAAAGGTGCCATAGATCATGTACCAGAAGAACGAGCTTGGCAACCTAGCCTGTGTCGTCTAGGGCTTGCGGTGGGGGAAGGAAGAAAGGAGATGATCTCCTGAGTGGCCTGGACCACCCGCGTTATGACGTCCCGCTGGTCAGTCTACCTGTACTTCACTGCAACGCAGAGGAGGGGTGGGAAATTCACGTGCTTTGCTAAGGTCACTTTGACTTGGTCTGATAGCTGCCTGAGCAGGTGAGTAAAAGGCTGCCAAAATACATCTTGGCAAATAGGCAAAGTCCGAAAAGGCTGATAACACACAGAGCTGGCGAGGCTGTGGGGAAACAATCACTCTCCTCCTTAGCTGGTAGAATTGGTACAATCTTTATGGTCAGCGATTTCTCAGTTTCCGCCCAAATCACAAGTGAATATGACCTTTGGCCAAACAATTCCACTTCTAGGAATTTATTCTATTGATAAGCTACCCATGTGCCAAATAAGGTATTCATTTATTCAGTATCATTCGTTACAGCAATGGCATAGCAAAATATTGGCAATGGTCCTAAGTGTCCTTTGGAGGACTGGCTCGGTGAATACGACAGAGCCATGCAATGGAAAATTATGCGGCCGCGAAAAAGAGCCAGGACTCTGTTTATCTACTGATTAGGACTTATCTCCAAAATAGGTGGACAAGTGAAAAAGCAAGATGCAAAACAATGCGTACAAGGGGCTCTCATTTATGTAAAAACGTGAATACACGTGTATATTTATCTATGCATAAAATATTGCTAAAAGTACCACAAAAATGATGAATATTGCTTGCCTCTGGGGAGGGGAACTGTATGGCTGAGATTAGTGGAGAGAGGAAAACTTTTCACCATGTATTTTTTATCTCTTTTAAATTCAGGACCGAGTGAGTGCCTTTAATGCAGAAACAGAATTAACATCGGAAAAAGGGCAAGCTCGCAAAGATAACAAAACAAACTGAAGCCAAAATCCTTATGCCAGGCCCCAGCTTCCCGCCCCCACCCCACAGCTGGCACCACCCACTCACCTGCTCCTTCTCTGAATACGGGTTGTTGAGGACCACGGGCACATTGCCCTTCCCCCACAGGTCATTGAAGACTCGGTCATTCTCCACACCAAGGGGCAGCGGTTTGTGCGACTTGCTGTCCAGATCTCTGAAAGGCAAGGAAGGGGAAGTGAGGACAGCATGAAGTCCGGAGTGACCAGCTGGTTGCCCTGGTCTGGAAATCCCGAGTCATTCCAGAACTTCCGAAGTTCACCCACATGGCTCTATGTGGAGCCAGCCAGCTTTGGGTGCCCGCTCGCTACTTTGTTAGGATCGCCAGCAACAGGTGGGAAGGCAGCCCCGTTGTCAAACACAAAGGTGAGCTCACCTAAGCTGGCACCAACATCCAGCACACACCCGTCTTCGTGGACGTCGCTTCGGGATGGCCATGCCATGGGTTTTGCTCCTCCCCCACCCCTCTCTCACTTCATAGACCTAAGGAACATAGGAAGCCCATCTCCTTGCAGAACCCCCGGACAAAGTAATGGTCATCAGACATAATGGTGTAGGAAGTAGGAGGCAGGAGGGATAGGGAAGGAAACCAGCCCTGTGGGCCAGGCTGGTAAGTCATTCCAACACTGACTAAGGCATTGATAATAAGACTAATGATACCAGCCCAGGATAAACAGGAATGATTATGAAAATAATGGGAATATAGCAACAAAAGGAATAATACTATTATAATGACAGCTAGCATTTACTAAGTACTTACTATGTGTTACGCGCGTGATAGATGTTTTAGTTCATTTAATCTTTGTCATAACCCTATGAGGTATGACTATTAATCACCATTTTATAAAAGGCAGAGGTGAGGCAGAAGCTAAGCTGATCAAAGTATATATTCCAGGCTACTCTTCACATCCATTCTGAAGCAGAGGCTCTCTTTATTATCTCTTTATTAGCATCATGATCATCACCATCATTCTCATGATCATCACCATTATCACTATCATAATCTACACCATCCAACTTCTTCCCTTCATCAGCATAACCATCATTACCACCTTAGTCATCATCACCATCATCACCAGTGCTATCATCATGCTCATCATCACATCACCATCGCCATAATCGCTCTCATCATTATCATCACCTTCACATATTATTCATCATAACCATCGTTATCAGTACCACTATCCTTCTCTTTCATGACCATCATCAGCATCTTAATTACCACTACCATCATCTTCGCGATCATCACCAGATGAGGAAACTGAGGCTCAGAGAGGTTAAATCACCATCCTACGATGCACAGCTAGTGACGGTGGAGTTGGGATTCAAACCGAGGCTTGTTCCTGACTCTAGAGACTGACTTCTTAACCAGGAAGCTTTCCTGGCTCCTGGCCTTTGAACTCGAATAGGTCTAGGAGGAAGCTATCTCAGCTTGGTTCCAAAGGCTGGCCATCTTCTGAGACAGGACTGACTTTGCATTTAAAATCCAGATCTCCTGCCTTCAAGAGACTCACTTTCGATTAAAAGACACATATAGACTGAAAGTAAAGAGATGGAAAAAGATATTTCATGAAAATGAAAACAAACAAACAAAAAGCTGGGGTGGCAATTTATCTGAAGATTTATTTATCTGAAGTATTTATCTGAAGAAACGCAAAACATTACTTCAGAGGGACATGTGAATCCATATGTTCACTGTAGCCTTATTTACAATAGCCAATATATGGAGGCAATCTGGGTGTCCATCAATGGATGAATGGATAAAGAAGTGGTCCATACATACAATGGAACCTTACTCAGCCATAAAAAAGAATGAAATCTTGCCATCTACAAGATGGATGGACTGAGAGAGTATTGTGCTGAGTGGAGTAAGTCAGGGAAAGACAAGTGCCATATGATTTCCCTTATATGTGGAATCTAAGGTACAAAATAAATGAGCAAACAAAATAGAAATAAACTCATAGATATAGCGAACATTTTGATGGTTTAAAAAATCCAGATCTCCCAACCAGCCCCACCTCATTTTTGTTCTTTTATGCTCCAAGCGCTGACCTCCTGCTTCTGACAACCTACCTCTTATTAAGGCCCCCTCTCCAGTTTTACACTAGGGCATCTGTCTGTTCCCCAATTCTGGGCACTGTGGCTTGTTCTGTAGCCCATCTCGGTTTTGGTCCCAGGCATCCAGGCTGGCCCTTGTCTAGCCCTCTGTTCTATGTTCCTGGCTTTGGGGACTCCTGGTCCTGGCTCCATCATTTCTCCTGACTCCCCCACCCTCCACCCCCATCTGGAGCTGACAGTCATTTGGGATGACAGAAGTCAGGGCCCAAGCGAGTGCACAGCCCTGAGTGGCCACTCCAGTTGCTGATTTGGGTCCTGGTGGCTCACGTCAAAGCCACTTCCTCTCTTCTGCTTGGAGAGATCTGCAGTTTTCAGAGGGAACATACTATTTTACCCTCTAAGATGTCACCAAAACACACCGGGAATGGTTCTTGATTATAGAACCCAAGTCGATGGTTTACCTACATGGTGGTAAACAGAGGAATTGTCTGCTGAGAGGGCTGCTATTCATGTCACTCAGCTCCCTCTCATCTCTGACACTCTAGATGCTATGATATCACATGACCATAAATGGGGATTCAGCAGAGGAGGGAAGAAGTTATTATCTGAGAGCATCTGTAATGTACTTGCACAGAAGTTATTTCATTTACTCTCCACAGACATTAAAAGCCCATTTTTATGGATGCAAAAACTGAGCCCAGAGAGGTTATGTAAGTTTCCCAAGGTCCCACAGCAAACACAGAGCAGAGGTGGGATCTGAAAACTAGGTCTTATTGATGCTCGGCTCAGAACCTCCCTTTTTAAAAACAGAGATAGGAAAAACTAGTCAGGATGCTCATGCTAAGCCAGAGGCGAAAGAGCAAGTAATCTACCATCTCTCACGGAATGAGGCCAGTTTACAAAAATTACAGGGTACAATTACCTAGGCAACTCTGAAATGACTCACATGGCTTATCGTGTGTGCATCTGCCGAGAGAGCTGCTTTTATCATCATCCTCTCTTTTTTTCTTTTTTAAGCCTTTAGCAACTTTGTTTAAATAATGCACTCGAAGTGTTTTGTCAACACAAATTTATTTAAGAGTCCTGTGTGATGAGCAAGGGAAGAATATTTTCAATATGGCACCATGGGGAACATGCAGGTTGAGCTGTTTTGCTTCCATTCACCCCGGGGCAAAATTAGAAGGAGATTTATGTAGATTCCCAGCCCCTATTCTGTCAGTGATAAGCGGGTCTGAGGAAGATACCTGGCTTGTTGTCATGAATTTGCTCACTGTGGGACTTGATCGGTTCGTGTGGGCAGTGTAGCCTGCTGGTTAAGAACACGGGCTGTGGACCGGGTGAAACTGGGTCCAACTCTTGGTGTTGCTGGTTATAAGCTGTGAAACTTTGGATATTCTGGATACTCAACCTTTCTAATTCTCAGTTTCTTCAGCTCTAAAATAGTGTTAGTTAATAATAATACCTAGTTCACGGGGCTGCTGCAATGGTTAAATGAGATAAAGCTTATAGTGCTTAGCTGTGTGGTACCTGCTATCAGTTTTACTAATTTGCCTATGGGTTGATCAGACAGAAACAGAGAGGAAAAAAATGCTAGCTCTGTATAAAACAGTCACGATCCCTTTCATCTAGTGTGGTCTGGTAGAACTTTCTGCCATGACAGAAACATTTCCATTTGCACTGTGCAGTATTATAGCCGCTGGGCACATGGGACAATTGAAATGTGGTTATTGTCAGTGAGGAACTAAATGTTTGATTTTGTTTGAACTGTAATTAAATTTAAATAGCCGTAGGTGGCTAGCGGCTATAGTATTGGACAAGGCACTATCTGTTCACGGAGCCTAGGAATTAGAGAATTCTCTGCTTGCTTGCCAGACTCCTACCTCCCATCTTTGTCAGCCCTCATATCCACTCTCCCCTCTTCCTAAGGAACATACCATACCCACTCCTACATCTTCCCTCTGCTGAGAGCTAACTCCTACTCATCCTTCAAAACCCTCTCCATGCCCACCTCTCCTGGAGATTAAATAAGGTCATGCAAGTCAAATGCCTAGCATGTAGTTGGCACTAACTAGACAGGAGCTGTGGTTATCACCATTGACAAGTAAGGAAACTGAAGCTCAGTGAGATTAGCTTGAAAGGCAGGTGTCTCCTTGCTGTTCTAGCTGAGAATCACAGAGAACAGGGCTTATTGGGTGGGCAGGGGAGGGGAGAGCCATTTGCTTGGACCTCACACTTGTGAAGAATTTCAAATTTAGATGTTGGATATCTCCTCCAAATGAGGTGGAGGTGTTGAATGTATTTCTTTGTTTAATGCAATTTTGATAAATCTAATATATCATTTCCTCACTTAAATACATATTTTGGGAGCTCACAGATGGAGGTGGATGGGGCTTGTCTTGACTTCTGAGAAGACTGGATGGTGACGCTCCTTTGTGAGCGCTCATGAGTCCTGGTCTCACCCACCACCTGAGTGGTTTCAGTTCAGATCTGTTTCTCAACTGGGATCTACTGATATCTGGGGCTGGACGCTTCCTCTTGGTGGGGGAGTGTCCTGTGTATTGTAGGCTGTTTAGCAGTATCCCTGGCCTCTACCCACTAGATGTCAGTAACACCTACCTTTCCACCCCTCGCCAGTTGTGCTAACCAAAAATGTCTCCTGATAATGCTCAATGTCCCCTTGGGAAGGGGGCAAAATACACTCTTCCCTATAGAGAAACATGGCCTAGGTGTGGCTGAGCACCCCGATCTCACACTTCCTGGTCTTAACCTTGCACTATCCCGCCCAAGGACTGAGGAGAATTTATTTCTTAATTGTCCCTTATTCCCGGATGGGATCAAGGACCCTGCCTTCACTAAGTGGCTCCCACCTCCTCTCAGGTGTCCTTAAACCACCGGAAAGGCCATCCTCCAGTGAACTTGGCATTCGGGGTGAAACAGTATCCTCAAAGCCATCACGTGGTCACGGTCGGTGGTTCTCAAACTTAAGGGTACATCTGAATCACCCGAGGGGCTTGTTAAAATTCACCTGAGCCACCTCCTGTAGAGTATAAAGTAATGTGTGTATGTGGGAACCTGGAACCCACTTTGTCAGCAGCACCC